GTTCTTTTGTCAAGTAAGTTGCATTGGACTCTACACGTATTAAAAAAAGGTTCTGATTAGTCACAAGAGTTGGAAGTGGCATGATCTTACTTCTGTCTAGCTAACTCATATCTCCACAATGGTCTCTTGACAATAAAAATCATACTGCTATTGAAAGATTGCATATTTTCTGCTTTTGGACACCGCCATATAAAACTTCCTTTATATTGTGCAGAAATGCGTGAAAGTACCACAAATGTCTGTTGATGGTAAATGCGCAATCCCGTGGAAGATTCGTACTGCCTCCAAGCCATCCAGTTAGATGGTCCTTCCCTTCCAGACCTTACAAAGTACAAGACTGACCCCCACTTTTGGTCCCCTTGGAAGATTTCTAGCTGACAGATATACCCGCTCTGCGTTTTTCCTAGACTTCTCCAGAGCAGGTATTAGTTGTACAAAAGCTGCAAGCTCAGAAAAGCATTTAACTTCAATCATGTGAATAATAGCTCATTGACTTTAATGTCGCCACTCATGAGCGCAAAGTTAAGCACATGCTTAAGTGTTCTGCATATCTGGGATCCTTGTATAATTTAGATTTAATGTGCCGCAGAGTACAATGTGGGAAATAATTCATTTTTCAGTTTCATGGCCAAACATCTATTACTGCAGAAACACAGCAGATCCTTTTTTGCAGGTTTTTCAGTGAGACTTTTGCTTTGTATCAATCTGAAATGTTTCATCCACCTCAAAATAATGTGTGTTGTTTTGTCTTCCAATTATCTCCTTCTGTCCCTTTCCTTTGTTACAGAAAAGCCTTTATTTTCCTTTTTTTTTTTCTAAATTTAGGTCAATTTTATGAGTAGTGCCTTTAGAAAATGACAAGTCAAAAACACACGTCAGAAATATCAAACAAAATGTTTTGTTTCAAGTATATTAAATGAGCTAGTTTGGCAAATATCAGAATTTCCTTCTGTCTTCTTACGCTCTCACCAGATTTTTTTTCAGCAAAAATATTGAAAATATTGGACAGTTTTAACTATAAAACTTAATTTTTTTGAAAAAAAAGCGTATCTATTGAAAAAAATAGCTGACCTATGCTGCATAGAAACAGGCCCTTTGTCTCAACATTTCATTAACATCTTAAAAAGCAAATAAGTCAAATATGTGTGAAATTTCAGCAATCTATATTAATTTGCAGGCATGCAGAAATGCATTTCTCTCCTTTTTGTGTCAATTACAAAATTACCATTTTGATACTTTATTAGCTTCTTTGGCATTTCCAACTAATTTAGAGGCATGGATACTATTTTTTTAATTATTAACCTAGTGCATGCTAAATTATTTTATTTAAATGCCCTGCTGGCTGTCCACATTTGCTTTTATTCTATTACTACTGTATATGAATGGAAATTACATATAGCTATTAGATTATTTCACACATTAGTTTATTTTATATAATCTTTCCTGTATTTATTGCCTTCGTTAGACTGAAATACCGCAGGCGCTTGTTTCTCTAATGTGTCTGAAGCTCTCCCGTTATTGGAAATTGGGTTATATCTCCTGATTACAGTCAGATGAAATCCAGATCTGGAAGCCGACTGCAGTATTCTGCGACAGGCCGTCTTACTAGCAGGGCTTTCACATGGGGTCAGGGCCATAGCAGCCCCCCACATGGACCCCAGACGGATACATCCTGGCAGCACATGCAAGGATGCTCTCGCTGGGCTTGCCAGTGGCAGCACTGAGGGGCAGAGCTCTGGCCAGGGAGCTGACTTGGCCAGCACGTCTCTGCCCCTGCCAGGACCACATCCAGCTGCTCCACTGCACAAGGCGGACCAGTGGAGGCAGTGGATGCTGGTTTGGCATCTGTGCAGGAGGAGAGTGGTTCCGCATACCACGAGCACAGGGAGCTGGAAGGGCGATGCTGCTCAGAGCAGCTTTTTGCCTGCAGGACTCACGGGACCAGTGCTGCTCTTGGGGAGGAGTGGATTTCTCCTCCCTCAAACTGCCCACAGCTGCACCAGCATTAAAACCCACAGCATGACATATGATTTAGCAGCTGCAAGGGTTAATGTGAGGTGGGTTCCTGGGTCAGCTCTGGCACCAGTTTTGGGCCAGCTGAGCACAGAGTGGCACTCAACAGGGTGAGCATCACTTGGGCCAGAGAGAGAGTGGCAGAAGTCACTAAGGTCAGTACAGTGAGCCTCCAGCCACCCTCAATCCAATGTACTTTCCTGGCACAGAGGTATCCACTCCAGCCCAGCTCAGACAGGCCTGCTCAAGCATCCACACAGCACAGTGGGGACATGACGTTAGTCACTGTCTTCCATGTCATTAGGAAGTAAATGCTGGGGCACAGCCAAGGCACCATCCAAGTCCTTAGACAGTTTTTCTGGGGAAGCGGCAGGTCAGCAGCCATAGGCACTTCTTGGAGCGGCTTTTCCCAGGCAAGGTCAAGGAAGAGGGTCCAGGGAGACTCTCAGGGTATCTGTCGCAGGGTGTAGCCAGACTGACCATGACAAGCCTTCCCCAGACAGTCACAGTAATGGATTTTGTGAGTGCATTTGGCATTTTGGCTGCTGTACAGTGCCAGGGGGACACCTTCCCCAGGTACTGTCACACTCTGAAGATATTTGCAAGCAGATCTGGGTCTAGAAAAGTAAGAACAATACCCCTTAAAATAACTAGCCCTTTGCCTCTTGGCTTGGATTATATCCTCTGCTGACACCTTGTACTGGACACAGCTGCCCTTGCCAACTGATGTAGCAGGCCAGAAGGTTGATCTGCCTCACTTCTGCTGTGGAAACCAGATGATGCACTGGAGACTAGAAGATACAGTTGTTCTTCTTGGCCACCTGGCATTGGTCAGTGATTGCCTCCCTTTGAAAGTCTGAACTGGCTAATTTAAGAAGGCAGGAGAAGGGAGGTAGAGCACAGCACACCTCCATCTGCCCTGGATGTGGCTGCACCCTGTATCCTGGCCAAGCAATGCATTGAGGGGGTGAGTGAGCTGCAAGCAGTATGCAGGCTTTGGAAGAGGTAAAAGAGGTGATTCGAAAGAGTGAATTACTGCCAAAACAGGGCATCTTGAAGCGGTGTGACAGATGCCTGGATGGCTGCTCTCAAATTCTGCAGGGCCCTCTGCATGTTCAGAGAGTAGAAATCCATGAGCCCAGTAGATCAAATTCATTCACTCACATCTTTTGGATGGAGTTAGTCCCACCTGTTTTTCTTATCCAGAGGCAGCAGTTGGCCTTCAGTTTTTACCAGCCAATTTTCACCTGATTCCAGATGCTCTGATAGATTGTAATTTCACCCAAATTTTGTACTTGCACTAGCAGCTGTGTTTGAGGCATACCACAATGATCTCAGTATGTACTGTGGCCTTTCTCTTCCCCAAGAAACAAAGCACATATGCTTTAGGATAGTAAAAGCAAACACAGGTACATTGGCAAAGAAAAGTAGAAGAGAATGACCTCAATCCAATACACACAGGTGGCCCTACAGTAAAATCAACTAAAATAGGCCTAGAAACTTGTATCCAAAGGTTCTGTGAAGCTCCAGGAGTTACCGCTTTCAATTGATATTTCATGCACATATCTCTGCAGGTATGAAGAATATCTTGAAAAACATGAGAATGAAAGCGTGGCTCTCTCCATGAGCCTAGGCACAGCCTGAAACAATAGATCACAGGTATGAACTATCCTATTTAGCTCAGACAGTTGAAAACCTAATGATGACAAACTAACATTAACTCTGATAGGGCTGGCTAGTTTTGAACGGTGTCTTTCAGTCTGAGGGTGTCCACAGCTTCTAAGGAGTCTCTGCAACAACCTCCACCTGGCAGAAAAGCATCTTCCCCTCCACCCCCTCCTCAACACAGCACACTGCAAATGTGGAGACAGCGTGAAACAAATTGAGGTTGAAACAAAAACAAATAGCAGGAGCACTTCTGCACTTTTGTATTATTCTGTGTCGTATTTCATTCCAGGAAAAAACAACAAAAGGGTAAAAAAAAAACCTCTTAAAAATTAATCCAACACAGAGTTTCCAGCCTGCTGCACAGGACACTGTATACACAGGGGGCCTGGCCACAATTTATTTCTAGACTATCGTGGGGGACACAAGAGACAGTAACTATAACCAGTCCAGCAGCAAACTGACAATTGCAGCCCTCTTCTTGCTGCTATCCCCGATAGCAGTGCATGCAACCTACGGCTATTTGGTTGCCCTACAATGGCATGACCCCTTAAGCAGCCCCAGTGTCTGAGTAACAAATTCAGTATCGGCAATCATGCCTCACAACGCTCAATTCCTTGCAAGTAACCTCAACACAAAACAAAAATAAAGCAGTGTGCAAAGCTTCAGACCCTCAAGAACCACACAGTGTACCCTGCATGTATGAGAAATCTCCTCAAAATCCTCAGTGTGCAGAGCCCAGCAAAAGCAGATCCTCTGCAAGGACCAAATGCAGCTCATGTAAACAAGGCAACAAAACACGCTCTGAACAGGAAATTATTTCTTGTGCCGAACTTCCAAAGGCCCAAAAAAATTACAGTATAACTTCAAATGCAAGCAATAGTAAATAATCAAAGCCACACTGGTTTACCCCCATGGGCAAACCTCGTCCCCAGAATAAACTAACAGGTCATATTTGGTAGACTAACAGCCAGCACTCCCGCACAGACGAATTGTATCATCCTGAAAAGACAGGTTACAGCCATTATACACACCGTCTCCCATGCTCCATTAATTCATTTTTTGCTGACAATAAGGTGTAGTTTGGGATCATGCAAGCAAGCACAGTTCAGTTCTGTTTCTAATTCATTCCCAAAGTGCTTAAAACATGTAAAAATGCAACTGAATACTAACAAAGAGCAGTTGTGCTACTTAAACTAGGAACTAAAGCTATGATGTGACTTAAAAAAACTGAACACTTTCCCAGTAAAAGTAAAGAAGAGAGGTTAGCGCAGCCTCTTCTGTGGAAAAGGCTGCTTTGGGGGGTTGGGTGGATCCATTACCTTTTTGTCGCTCAAGCCAGACACCTGGTCCACGTATTCCTCTTGGATCATGAAGGCAGCCAGGTTGGCAGTGTAGCTGGCCAGAAAGATGACAGCGAAGAAGGCCCACACCGACACCATGATCTTGCTAGTGGTACCCTTGGGATTCTGCACTGGCACAGAGTTGTTGAACACCAGCCCCCACAGCAACCAGATAGCTTTGCCAATGGTGAAAGAGGGACCTCCTGGCTCTAGAGTGATTGAGAAATATGATCCCACAGTGAGCATCTCAGAGTGAGTCGTCTGCATTTCTATTCACATATGCACCTTGATTTTAGAGTTAAGAGTAGCATCTATTCCCACATGTGAGATGAATATCTGCAGGTGCCCTCCCCTATATTCAGGACACCATACCTCAGCAAAGTGCAACCCTGAAAAAAAAATTTTTTTTAAATATCCTCGGGCTTCCATATTTAATCTGTCTCAAAGACTTCTGCTGAAACCCTATATAAAGGCTTTTTTTGTACCTGATCGGAGTATCTAAAAGCCCAAACATTACATTTCGGTTCAAGTGTTGTCACCAGAAATAGAATTTGCTCAGAAAAATTCTATCCTTGTTTCTAGATATTCAAAAGCGATGTTGTCCTTGAACTCCCAGCATACACCTGTGCAACACATGGTCTTCACTGTACTTGTACAGGTACAAGGAAGAACGCCATCTGAAATAACGGGCCTCTACAAATACCTCTGCAAGACGGTTTCATTACCCAGTCTGTTGAAGACACACAAGCCGGAGAAGAACACATCTCCCTCTCCCCATGTTCTGTGTCTAAGGTACATAGCAGTGACATATACTCTGGTCTATCTCAGAAAACTCAGCAGCTCTGCCCCAGACAGTCCAGGAGCAGATCCAGTGTTTTAAAAGCTGCTATTTTCCCCTTATTTGCTTTTCAGCATGGAAGCTCACTCACACACCAAAAGCCATGTGTGCTCACGAAGCACTAGGCCTGAGAACTTACAAAATCCTGCCTGTCTCCCAGCAGTCTCATATCCCTGGCATATTCTGGTTCCATTAGTGGGAATCCAAACCAAAATTTGCTCAACTTGAGCACAAAAGGACCTGTCAGGGAGTCCGCAGATGTGATTATTCCAAGGATCCTGCTTCAGACACCAAGAAGTCCCTCTAAGGAAGAGAGCCCTCTGGCACAGTTCAAGGGTCTGTCACTTTTCCAATGGTGCCAACATGGCTCTGCAAGCTTTTGGGTTAGCACCCCATGTTTTATCTCCTCCCTTAGACAGGCTGACTGGTGCCTAATGCTGCTGTCTGTGGTTAAGGTTGGCTCCAGCAGAGGAACAAAAGGGAAGAAAGTTTTGACACTCCTCTCCAAACCCCTGAGCAGCAAATAGCATACATCATCTGAAAGCACTAAGTGTGTCAGTCTAAAGACAACTGAAAGGTGCAAGCTACTCATTTTGAACTGTGGTAACTGCACACCAAGCTCAAAGCAGAATCAACACCTGGCAAAATTGGAGCCTCTAGATGCCAGGGAGACAAAGTTGTTATAAAAAACATGGTTTGGCAGTCCTTGTCTTGTAACATGCTGGAGTGGTAGCTTTATATCCCTCTCTACCTAACGTGCCCTAAGATACACAGGTGTAAGGCCTGCAAATCACCAGTGGGAACTGTAAGGTGTAAGGAAATCTTGAGAAGTTCCCTCCTAAAGCCTTCCTCTCTCCACTGATCACCCCATGTGCTTTCACAGTTACTTCGTCAGCCACAAACGAAAACAGCATTGGGAGCCTCCGCTCCAAACCAGGGACCCAGAATCCTTCTGAGCTTTCTAACTTTGAGTGCCCCAACAACAACCTAACGTCATTTAGAGGTTAGATCAAGGCATGCCTACCTGACCCTGAAGATAAAATTTTGGTGTCCATATAGAGAAAATGCAGGTGTGGGATGCAGGGGTGTACTGTCATAGACTAGTTCAAATGCAGCCAGAGGAACATTAACCAGAGCAACATTAGCCAGAGCATTCACTACCAAACAAGCATTGCAGTCTCTGCAGCAGATTTCTACATCTTCATGTTACATCTGTCAGGGATAATATCTGCCTGATCATGTAGTACTGTTCATAATTGCTCAGAAATATCAATACTTTCAGCTGCAGCTCAGCTAACTTAATGACTGCACAACTGCACACCTGTACTAAGAACTGCTTCCAGTTCCACATCTGCATTAACATATCTCAAGATACTCATAGGTTTAACAGTATTTAGTTGTGTCTACAGATCCATGTGGTTACAATCACTGCCATAAATGTGCTCCACATGTTAAGAAAGAAGTTCTCCATTTCCCCATATATGTGGTTCTGCCTGCATTCTCATTAACACTTTTTTTTTTCATTCCTCTCTATTTTGATGGCATAAATTCACTCAATGCACTAGATTGAGGAGCAAATGAGTGCATTTTTCAATAATTGTCTCTCTCTTACTATTCTGAACAGGCCAATAAACCCAGAAAGGTTTGAAGGGCTGATTCACCAGGAGATAGGGAGATGAAAAAAGGCTCAACTTGCTAATTGTCTTCATGCCAATAAGGCAAAAAAGACTGTCTCTTAAGCTGGCTGTCCATCCTCTCTTTAACTCATCAGGCTGGCTTCTGAAGATCAGAGCCCCATAGATGGGTCACTCACTTGTTCCCATCTTTCCTGCTGCCCTTGAATCCATCACTCACTCCCAGGAAAATGAACTATCCACTTTCTCAGCCTGCCTTAGCAAGCCAGAGAGCCAAGTGGGGGAGGGACGTGCCCAGGTGACAGATGTGGAGTCTGGAGGACATAGCACTATGCTGGAAGGCCAGCAGAGCAGCTTGCTCTCTGGGGAGACATAGCACTGAAGGATGGATTGACAGCACTGAGCCCTCTGATTGCCTCATAGAGCACAGCACTGTAGGCACTGCCAGCACCAGCTACCAGGACCTGTTTTCCCTCAATGAGAAACAAGTCAGAGCTGGTGCGTGCTTTAGAGATGAAAGGCAACTCAGCTCCGTCTCCCGAGCCAAGCAAATTATCCATTATACACATCTGCTCTCTTCAGAGCTTTTTTTCCGCCTCCATCCCTGCCCTCTTTAGTCTGAACACAGAGCTCAGAGTGGGCTAGATCCATATTGTGTTCAAGGCAAAGGAAACACCCTGACAGAGGAGCCGGGGACTGGAAACAAGAGAGGACCATGGCAAGGATGGACTCCCCTTACCTCTGCCATCAGCAAGGCACCGATTATAGCCCACAGGGCTGAAGTACTCAAAGACAAAGACGGCCACCGCAGAGATGATAAGCAGCATCACAAACATCATCACCCATACGTCAGCACTGAAAGGCTCTGGAGAGGAAGAGAAAACCATGGTGAAAGACCTGATACACTACCTCACCCTTTCCTCACTTCCTTTGCTCTCCAGAGAACCCCAGTGAGAATGTGGGGCAAACTGGGCTGGGAAAAAAAAAAAACCAACAGAAGTTACAACAAAACCTTTGACCTGAGTCTGAATTGGCAGAAGTGTAGTTTCTGTCTCTCTAATGACTGCATTCCTTCTTACTGTTACATTTGTGACACATGGCTCCATCTGGAACTACATGCAGACATTGTGGCATGCACTGATAAAATAAAATGCATTGATAAAAGATTGTTCCCAGGAAGTCCTCCAGCACCATCTGGAGAGAGTGGGGAAAATCAGGCAGAACTGGCAGAGTTTCAGACAAGCATCCAACTTGCAAGATGCTATTGAGCCAAAGAGTATCTCCAAATTTCTGAGGTTCAGCCAGAATGATAGTAGTTTTTTCAGCTATTCCATTCCTGTAGCAATGGGAACACTGGCTTATTCTAGAAATGTTAGCATTCATATTCTGTAAGTGTTTGATCTCGGCCAGGTTTTCTCCTTCTCTAAGCCTGAATAGATAAAGATGGGAATGAATCATATCAAAGAAAGTTAAAACTTTGCTCCAGACTACAGCTGATATTGCAACCTCAGTTAAATTGCAATTTAATTTTTTGGAGTTAACTTTATCATCGCTTTTACATACCCCATCAATACTGGTGGACTTGGCTAAAGGCAAAAACTCCTGAAGAGTAAATAGCCATGAAACTCCTACTTAAAGAGGTTTGGAAAAAAATCTTTACCCATATAAAGTTATTTCTGTTTGTAAATGTTCTCAGGGTGCTGGCAGAAAGCAGACATTATATAACTCATATACTGTGTTTGCTGCACCATAAAGCATTTTATAAAGCCAAATAATAGATACTAGGAAGACATGGATGTCTTGGGGAAAGGCAGTATCATTTTTGCATTCTTTGATCACCCCTCACCACCAAAGGACATTAGAAACCACTTTACTGGAAAACACAGTGTTCTGTGTCTTGAACTGATGGCTCAAGTCTTCTTGAAAAGCTCTATTGGATCTCTAACTTCTACCAGTTGCTCTGTCAAGGGAGCGTCAAGTTAATACCTTTTTTACAAATAATGTCTTTCAAAGTGCAATTTATTGCTAATTGTTATCATTAAGTACTATGGCATACAAGCTATAAGGTTCGAATCAATTTTCTTCTGGCCTACACACCTTGAACATGCTATTAGTTGAGTCACTGTGAAACCACATGCTGCAGAGTAGGTGACAACTCTGAGTGAGCCCATTCTTTGCTGGAATTAGGCGTACAATTGCTGAGAAATGCCTTGGAACTCCTAGGCAGTGGCTGTTTGCATTTGCCTGGATTTTGCTTGCTTGGGATTTAGAACTAAAACATCACAGTTTATTTTTATATACCTGTCCCAAAAAGAAACTTTCAGGCTGAGAATCACAAGCAACCTTCACCTAATTTTTGATGAACACTGGGTGAAGTTTTAATTTTAGATTAAAATGATACCTAAGAAGGCAGAAGGTGAGACAGTTCCATTGCTACGTGACACCATAACGCTGATTCCCGTCTCAATGAAGGGCACAGAGAAATCCACCACTTCTGAACGTTCCTCATTAATGGTGAGGGATCCCACAGCCATATAGGCCCGTTTGGTGACAACCTGGAGGAAGGAGAGGAAGAGATCACACACAGATCTGAGTCACCTCTCAAGCACTACAGCCAAACCCCTTCTCACCTTCCTGCCTTTCCACACAGTCCTTTTACTCCTGTAATCCCATTCCCTATATTGTTTCTATCATCTCTCCTTTCTAATCTTTCATCAGGACACCTTCTTCTTTCAGGAAATCTATAGACATTAATCTTCCCCTCAAAGCTGGTATGTGTATAAAAAATAAATCCGCAGAGGTCTTAGGATAAACACATCATCCACTGAGAAGACGTCTTATCTCATTTTTCTGTCCTTGCTTTCTCCTCCCTCTAACACTGCAAAGTCTTATTTCATTCTTTATGCACCTTATATACGATCTAAGCATAATCTAGGTTGCAGCCTCTCTGGCACATGGATATTACCCTCTTTCTTTGACTGTGAAGGCCAAATTTGTGACACTATAGAGCATAATAATTAATTGCCGAACAGAAAAGGTAGTCACTGTCAGAGTGTCAGAGCAGATTAATTCATCCAGTGCCCAGAAAGAATCCAGACTAATCATTTCTATACAGTGACCTCTGTCCCTGCTCCGGAAGGAACACAAATAAAGGTGGGAGACCAGACCTGACCCATGTCACCCAGCCCAGGGATGAAGCCCACCATTCCCTCCCTTTGCTGCTGACCTCTCCAATCATTCCATTCCATGTCCCATTGATCTTTTTCCCATGCTTGCCATTAGTCACCAAGTAGAGGTCATAGGTGAACTTGACAGACTTCGAGATTTTCTTGAGGATGTCAATGCAGAACCCCTTGCAACATTTCTTCATGTAATCTGGCTCCTCATCGGTTTTGTTCCTGAACCATCACAACAATAATGGGTTAAAAGACTGCAGAAAACTCCCTTAATTCCCTTCTGTTGTCTGCACACCCCCTCCCACAATATAATGCAGAGAATTGCATTTGTGCTATCTGTGCTGGAGAGTGATGGGACACACTATGACAATTTGCCCAAAGGGGCCTGTCGTGAATGGACACAGGCCAGGCTGGGCAAACGCAGGTGACTTTTCTAAAAATTATTATCAGGGTATGATGGGATTATCCCAACAGACTCTCTACATTCTGCTGAAAAGGGAGAGCCCAATAGGAGAAGAAAAACCCAGGGGTGCATACTCGGTCACTATGCGTTTTTGGCAAGGGACCGTGTTCCTCATGCAGGTGCCACTTAGGGGGTCCACATTCTCCACAATGACGAACGGTGCCTCTTCCAAGGTCACAATACTCAGGTGATCATCCTCGCGTTCCTCAGAGTCGGGATATAACTCAAAGCGGGGCCACACATAATATTTCATCTGCAACTTCTTTTCCTTCCATTTCCCCACCTGTGGAGACACAAATCACAGAAAATAGACTTCTAGCTGCCCCATTCCTCTGCATCAACCACAGCTCCCACAAGCCTGGGCAGAAGGACCACTCTGCAGTACCCAAGCTCACAGCTCATGTAAAATGAGGACATTTCTGGGGAGAAAATGGGTTCAAACCTGGGGGAAGTGAAGAACAATAAAGATGTCTGGGTTGTCCTATCTCTGTGATGGTCTCACCCTCTGAGAGAGTGAGTGGATGACCAAGCGGATACCATCACTGTGGTCAAACAGGCATGATGTCTTTCAACTTTCTCAGCTAAACAATAGGAACAGAGTTTTTTGTCTCCTAAAATGCTGACTTCAGCCTACTAGCCACAATCAGTTGTTTTTTTTTTTCCTGCTAAAATAGAGAAATATATACAAATGCTGAAACAGATATCATTTTGAAACAGAAAAATTTAAATACTTCACCTGAAAAAAACATAACTTCTTTATTTTTTCAAAATTTTGTCATAACTTGTTTTCAGTGAAATTCATCAAACAGATTCACTTTAGCCAAACATGATGTTGTCCACAAATAACTCCTTATGCTGGAAAACAGTTGCACATTCCTAGTCAGGACTGAGTTCTTCCAAGAGACAGGCAACTGAAGAGGGAGATGTTCTGCATTTTCAGGAGTGACTTCACAGGAGAAGAACATAGACAGAGGTGCTTGCTAACACTAGTTCTTGCTAACAGCTGCTAAGGCCTTAATGAAATACCTGGTCTTCTTCTTTCACAGTGACTTGGTTACATACCTCAGCTGGAAACAAGGAATTGCTCTGTGTTTCTCACACATGAAAAATAAAACCAAAGAGAATGTACGATTTTTTAATTCTTGTTATTTTTCCATAAGAATATATTGCAATTTTAGATCTTTTCATTATCCATTTCTTAAGCAAACAGAGATCGTATCTTCAGCGGTCAGAAAAGGGATGTGAGACTCAGTTGCCTTATACCTACTGCCATAAATAAGAGTTGTTTTGAAGCCACTCCAGTCCTGAAAAGACGGTATGTGTAGCACACACAGAGCCCATGGTAGACCATTCCTTGCAAAAATTTCACAAAAAGAAAAAACTTGAACATCAACTATGCTTTCAACTATCAAAGCCTTGCCTTTGTTCTCAATTCCTCCCATCACAGTTGACACTAATTAGCACCTTGGCTGGCAGCTGAAGCTGAGAGGGCAAGAAACTAACTGGGCTTTAGAAGGAACTTTCTTGCATGATCCTGAAAGAAAGCCCTCCAGGCCAGGGCTGACACACGTTGACTTGATGGCAGAGGCAGTGTGGGTGTGGGGGAAGCTTGCACGACTGCTCTTAGCAGTGTACCTACTTGGTGGGTGAACAGAAAAGCTTCATTCCACTGCAATCCAACACCCCTCCCACCACCCCCAAATTTCAGTCATTTATTTATTTAAATGACAGGACGGGAGGGAGAAGCACTCATTAGAAGCTCATTAGGTGTCAGCGGTTATTCCGTGAAACTCAAAGCCCAGCTGGTGTTTGGCATTTGAGAGCAGCTAGAATTCACATAAAACACTTGTCACCTTCAAAACAAACAAACAAATGCTTCATCTGGCCATGAAAGAAAAATCCACTCTGGGGGCTTGTGGAGGGAGAAGAAAAGAAGAAATGACCCAGAGACAGCAGCCTCCCCACCCATCCCTGAAGCAGGAACACAGCACCCTGGTGAGGACAAGGCAGCGGGTTTTGTAAGATGGGGGTGAGATTTTGTAAGTGGCCAGGCAGCTGGTCTTACCTTCCCAAGGGCCCTTATGACAAACAGTTGGCAAAAAATGCCAAGGAGAGCTTGTCCCTAATATTCCCTCCACCCACAGAGTCACCTGCTTGAATCAGCAAGCAGGGCACACAGCTATTTTTCTTCTTTTTTCTCTTTTTTTGTTTTGTTTTGTTACTTGAGTATGCAGGGAGGAGTTGTTTTAATTCTTAAATACACTTTGAGCAGCAGGTGAAAGCTGGCAGACCGGGAGCCCCACGAACTGGTGGCCCCTGTTGACCACAAAAACCAGATAGCATTGTCTAGGGCAGCAGTTGTTCTGTACTCATGCTAATACCTAAGCCTGGATGTGGAGGGTGAATTTCTGAGGGAACAAAAAGCATATACTCACATGCTCACCCAGGGTCTGCTCAGCCTAGACTTCCCACTTGTTGACCAAGCAGGTCAATTTATCATCGTCTGAGCTACAGATTTCTGCAGAGCAACTTTAGCCCTCAAGTAACTGAGCTCAAATCCCCAAAACCAGTTCAGTGAAGCCACCAGATAAGCAGAATAACTGCACACATGGGCCTCAGTAGAGAACAGTGATTAAGATGCTGCACAGAACAGCCCAGACTTCAGCTCGGTTACATTAACTTATCATAGAAATAAGTGGCTGATGAAAGAGACATCTTGCAGAATCTCAGCAGCACTTAGATATCACAGTAATAGGCATGATATAAACCCCTAAGTGATAAATTAGATCAGATAGGCAAACCCAACTTGTAATTACCCAGAAGTTCTCTGGGACAGAAAGGGGAGTTCATAAGGCTGTGTGCCAGGCACGTTTCACAGTGTTGTACTACATGGACAACATTATGAAATTAGGATAACAATGACAGTCTTGCCACAGCCTCCTGCGCGCTGAAGCACCTAACCTGCAAATACAGTAGTACGCGTCCTTTCCTTATTATCTCAATAAAATCATTCTAAATTGTCCAAAGAGGAAGAAAAAGAAGATGTAGGGGAATGTTCTGACCTACATTTTTAAATTAGCAATGTAGTGTCTCAAGAATACATGCTAATATTACACTTCATTGCTAACCTGAACAATTATGCATGCCATATACCTGCAGACATGTACAGATTTGAATAAGCAAAGTCAGAAAAGCTTTGCGAATTAAGAGAGTGCAGACTTCTTTACATGCTCATGTATGCAAGGGTCAAATGTGTAAGCATGTAGTTAAAGAAGAGTGGGCTTAAGCAACATGTGGGCAAGGACAATGAGGATAGTAAGAAACACCACATGTGCAAACGATGGAGACAATGCAAGAGAAAGAAAAAACGAATATGCAATATATGCCAGATAATCTACCATAAGAAGGAAGGAGTGATTCACTGTGGGGACAGAGGTTAGCCACAACAGAATTAGATGTCACAGATTTGTCCAGGTAATGATGCCTACTCTTAAAGAATATAACCTGCCAAGCTGTGCAGAGCAGAGTAAGGCACTTCTGAAGTCTCAGGGTATTTGGTATTAACAGCTTGTGAACTGTTATTACTTAGGTTTTGCTCAGTGCTGGCCTCAGCAAAAAGAGGAAAAATAACCCATCTCAGGCATCCTACATATTTGTCTCCCTGCAGTTTCAAGACCCACTGGGTGTTCTCCAATCAGAGTCTAGTCATCCAAACTCCCACTAGGAGCCCTGGAGGGTCACAGAATCAGCAAAAATAAGGATGCTAGGGAACTTTAAAACCCCCTTTCTAATCATGTTCTCCAGTCCCTAGGTGTGTTCCTGTATGCCAGGGCAGGGCTCCTAAAAGCCAGAATTTCACCTTAACTTCCCCTTGCTCTGCTTGTACCACATCTGATCTTACCAAGAAAAGGAAAGTCACTCTGGTTTGGGGATAATTTTGGAGGTGTTGAGGGAGGGAAGGAGCTAACTTTTACCTTAGATATAAGATCCTTCTTTGGAACAATCTGTTGGAAACTGAAGTCCAATACATTTGCAAAGAAATAAAGTAAGAGCTATTGTAGAAAAAAAGTCAATCCTATATGCTACTGGTTTGCCTAAGTATATAAGCTATCCCATGCAGACAAAAGTTAAGATTGCCTGTGCAAAGGAAGAATAAGTGAGAGCCTTCCAAAAGCCTTCCAGCAGGCTGGCAAATTGCATTAACAGCAGTATAATGCAGCCAGAATAAAAGAGTTTGTAGTATGTTAATAAAAGGTGTATCATATTAGTTCCCTGAAAATAGTTCTTAACAGAGGCTTTTCTCTCCTCCCAAAGGAAGCTAAGGCTTGTAATAGCCATTTGTGGCAGATGTTTGTCTAACTGTCCTTACACTGACAGAGAGCCCATGGTCTCCGTGAGCAGTCTATTCCAGTGCTTAACTATCCTTGCCATTAAAAGGGCTCTTTTCCTGATGTCTAACCTAAATCTTCTTGCTGAAATTTCTACCAGGAAAGTATATTTCCTTATTCTTCTACATGTGCTTTTTTCAGTGTTATCAGGTCAGTAAGATATTTATAACACAGAGGAGTTGGTAGTCTCCTTCAGTGGGTATCTTATATACTACATTGGCAAAAACACTGCCTGTTCAAGTGACCAGCACTCAGTGTCACCGTTTACAAAATCCTTACCCAGATGGGTAGTACGAAGAAGTACAAGATAATCCCATGAACTTCCAAAACTGTCTGTTCCAGCCAGGACAGAAGCCAATCTCTGAGCTCCTCCTAGTATGCCAAGGCAGGACTTCAAAGCACAAGAGGATCTGGAGAAACCTCTAACTATTGTCAACAGATGGAAAACGAAAACCTCCTCTAAGTTTGGCTTTCAAGGACTAGGCAGCAGAATACAATTCTGGATAAAACAGAAATGTTCAGATACATTTCTTAGGCAAGATGCTCAGAAGCATTTCGTTCGTACTTGGGGTAGAAGTTCAGAGGTAAGCCTGAACCTTCAAGAGCTTGTTTTTCAGCAGGCTGCAGGAGACCTATGTCCGGGCAAAGTCTTTTGATAGTTTTTATTTCATTCAGGCTCCGATTTGCACCGTGCCTTGCACCACTCTCTTTTCATTTAAAATCTTCTCTCAATTCCTGCCACTCCTGGTATAGAAGAAATACAAAAGGAACAAAAGGGGTTTAGTTTCATTTACAGAATAAAAGAAAGACCATTCCAAACTCACTTAGGACTTCAACTGTTTTCTGCATTTCCCCAAAAGTTCTGTGTTTCCTCCCTCATTATGTTTCTTTTTTC